AAATCACTTTCTGTGCATTCATTTTTGATGTTTCCACCACTAAACAAAAACAATGCATCTCTGAGAACAGTTATGCTGCTTGTTGAAAGCCTAAGTACTTTGTGGAAATGCATTAAAATAGTGGTTTATTCCCAGAAGCTTCAGCAAACCTGTTGTTAATTAACTCTGCATTCCCAGGTGATCTTCCTATGCATCTTAAGATAATTTTCAGGATTTGTTATGCAACAGATGTTAAACTTCATCATCTAGTTTTCTGGTGCATCTCTTGACCCTTTTATAAATAAGGAAGACTTTTTACTGCCTTCCTTTTCTATTTAAAAAAAAAAAAATCAAATGACAGATAAGACAGCTGTTGAGCTTAGTTCTAATACTGGAGTTTGTTTTGAAAGGGCAATGTTACTGAGCAAAGGTCTGTTGAATATTCAAGTGAACTTGTGTTTATATGGCTTTCAGCTTCTCTGGTAGTCAGAAAAAAATAGCTCAATCACTTAATGCACTTAATGCAGTCAGTGTTTTCAGAAGCTGCTTTGTCATGCTTGTGTTGTCTACTGCAGTTTGCCATTACTTCCAAGTGACATGGGAAGAGCTTTAGTGGCTGGGCTGCAGCCTGTGATTCTATGGCATGGGAAGAAAGGAAGGAGAATGGAGTGAAAAAAGTATTCTTTTCCTTCACTCCTTCAGTGAAGGAGTATTAGAGGCCCTGGTTTTAGCCTCAAATATTAAATTGAACAAAGTATGCATTTATAAATGTGCTTTGCTTCATTTCAGCTGGGGACTCTGTTATCCCTGTGCTGTTCCAGTTTGTCCTTCAAAACTAGTGTTCTTCTCAAAGCGGTTCATAGATGTAATATGTAATTATTAATATACAATTGTGATTATTAGTAATAGTCAAAGAGTAATATGTAATATAGTAATGTAATATAGTCAAGATCTTTGTTTGAAGTTAAAACAAACAAACAAACAAAAAAACACTTCTATTTAATAGTGGCTAAGCTGGGAAGCTATCTGCTTACTATCCTACCAAGGCTTTGTGTTAACTAGTTTTGGTTTTGCTGGAGCCCTGCATGGCTTAAAATACTCTTCAGCAGAGGGTAACGATGGAGAAGCAAGTTCCTAGAGAAGTAATCCTGGTGGTCAGGGTTTTCCTAAAAGGGTTAAAGGGTTTTCCTAAACCGTTAAATTTTTTTCTCACATTTCTAGCTCACTGTTTGCCAAATGCAGATAGCAACATGGAAGTGAAACTTCAGGAATTACTAATGCAACTTCATTTACAGCAGGAAGGTCTGTCTTGTCAATACCAAATGCTTGGAGCAGGTGTTACTTGTTGAATATCTGGTGACTTAAGTGCTGTCTGTCTGTAAACATACATGTGTTGTCCTGTATTGTACAAATCAGAATAGACTTCCAGCTTCCCTGTCATATATGTTGCTCCATCAGTAAAACAGGAATTAGTTTCTGTGCTGGAGGTGTGAATTATGAGCTAGAAATTTACCTTTTCCGGAGGCTTTTGTTGTGGTTTAAAAAAATCTTCCCATATTAATTATTTCCCATCTCCTAATATGAGTTAATTCCAGTTTTCTGGTGCAGATATCAAGGATATTTTTTTCAGCTGTGAGCAGGTATCTGAAAGTGTCTAAAGCAGCCTCTAAAATTTAGATGAAGTGCAACCTATTAAAATAACAAACACTGTAAACACTTTTTACCATTGGAAACTACAAAATGACACGCTTAGGGAGAGGGGCAATGCAGATAAGGGGACAATTCACTGTAAAAGAAAACTAGTCGTCTTCTATATTGTTTGCAGCTGCTGTTGGTGGGGTGTGGAGTTATTTGAGCTTTTTTCAGGGCAGTGGCTCTGTGTTGCACGTTTGTTGAAGTTGAGTCAGCTGGCAGGACAAAGGAAATCCAGCAAGTTATGAGGTCATGTGGAGAGATAAGATGAGCTACTGAGAGTATTCACTTTTTTTCCCCTTGAATGAAGCACAAAAAATTCCTTAGTGTAAATATTGCTTAAGTACCACTGGCTTTGGTTGGAGCTGAAGTTGCACGCTGCAGTCAAAGGATAGTAGATGTTTTTCTGATTAACACAAAACTTCTAAAAGATTATCTTTTTCTTTTGCTTCAGAGCTCTGCTTTCGTAACCCTGCTAGCAGCCATGTAACATCAAGGATTTAAAAAAATGATGTATGTACCTTACACTTCCCAGGGTGCCTAATTTGATTACAGTGCTGAGTGAATGTTTGATGAAAGCAAGTTGTTAGAATTGAGTTTGGCTGGTGTGAGATACAGTCTGTATAGGTGGAGAAGAGGGTTTCTTTTTTAATGTAACTTTGATGGTACTACTTAGACCTGATCTGAAGGGGCTTTGAATTGAATCTTTAAATTCACCTGAGTGAAGAATATTAGATAACAAGCTAATTGTAGCTGGTGGACTATAACTTGTAGTGGCCTGAGGACTATAGCAGATTGATGAATTTACAGCAAGATCTGGAATTTGCTGGGCTAAGGAATGCATAGGCTTGTCAGATTGGAGTTGCTGATGGCTCATGGTGAACCCTTGGGTGAATGCAAGAATGATAAATGTTAGGATGGGTTTGGAAAAGCAAGTTTGTTTTTCTGCTGTGCATCCTAGATCTTTTTTTTCCACTGGATCTAGTGAGTGTAATAGAAGTACAGTTTGCAGAAATGCATCTTTTTGACAGCAAATGCTGAATCTATGAAAATGAAACACCTTGCAGGGTGTTTTATCAATATATCTGAAAATTATTTGCATTTATTTATTTCACTTTTTTAAGTCGCATACAATTCATGGAGAGTATTTTGACCTTGTCAGAAGGAAATGGGTATAACTAGGAGAAAAAAGGTGAATGTTTGGTCACAAACATCAGCCTATCTTTGTAAGCTACGTGGAAAAGAGACTCAAAAACATTAAAGTCCTTGAAACAAAAATGCAGGATTTTGGATTGTTAGGGTTCCAATTCAATCACTGCATTAAAAAGCAGGGTTGTCTGATCAGCCTTTAGGAGCTGTCACACTGTGCACAGCATCTAGAAAGGTGAACAGTAACTTTCAAGGTAGTTTTGAGTGAAAACTTCAAATTTGTCATCAAGTGTAAGGTAACATTTCACAGTGTATGTTCTCATTAATACACACAGTGTCAGTTATTCGGTGTACAACTCTGCTTTGACAGATGGTTATGGTGAATCATAAAATGGAGAGGCTGAAAGAATTACTTGATTTTCTTTCAAGATAGAATTTCTTTGATTTCTATCACATCAGAAGATAATAGTTGCACCAGATGATGAAGTATCTGGTCTTGAACAACATGCAAAAGATACAAACTTTGAGGGGGACATGAAGTTTTAACGTATTTTGCCCTTCAGGTTGTAACTGAACTGACTGTTTGGCATTCCTTCATTTCTTCAATTGGCCACAATTACTAAAACATCTAATGAGTTTTGGAGATTATCTTTTTGTTTGCTTACTTTTAATTAGACTGAAGGTACTGTCTTTGTTTTCATTGTAGGTCAAGTTCTCTGAACTGCTAGTTGTGTCAGCTATTGACTGAGCTGCTGGCTGCTTTCTGGGGAGCTGGATATTGGGGTCTGGTGCCCAGGCTGGACACAGCCTGCTGCCTATAGCCTCACCAGCAGCATGAACCATGGCTGTCCTGTGCAGCACTGATACGTATCTTTGGCATAGCTTGGGGATGTTGACTCATTTCTAAGTTGCCACAGAAATAGAGGTTCTTGGATATGTTCTGTAAAATAATAAAGTAAAAAACCCAAAACAAACAGTTTTCTCCTGAACTGGAGAAACCCAGTTCTCTTGGCATCATAGAGACACAGACAACATGTTTTCAAGGAGCTGTTTGGAAAGAAGAAATAGGAAGTAGCATCATGCTAATGCTGTTATCCCACAGAGCGGTCCTTCAGTCTGCTGTATGGAGGAGTGATTTGCAGTGCAGCGAAGGAGGGCTTCAAAGGCTTCAGTAAGCATGCTGGTTAGGTAACTAGACAGCTTGGGAAACAGTGATGGGCAAAACAGGAGATACCCAGCATGTAATATGAAGCAATTGCCCATAACAAGCAGCCGTGGCAGGATTTGCATCAATGCTGCTACAATACTGTTTATTATCTCTGTATGTATACCTGCAGTTATGAAAGTATAGGTCAGGATGTAATTATCTGTGATAAATTAATATTTACTAGCAATGCATAACCTCTGCTGTTGTCTTATAGGTTGCTCTGGTGTGGCTCAAATGTGGAGAGTAGGCTGAGCAGGATAAATCATTTCTGAGGCCTTTTAAAGGTTTTGCTTTACTATTCGATGCTCAACTCTCCTATGCTGCCTCCTGACTCTCAAGCCATTCTATGGTTATAACAAAATTTAATAAAACAGCTGGCCTGGAAGATGCTGTTGTACATCTGGACAAGAAATAAGCAATACAAACTGATCTAGCTATTCTTGCAACATAATACCATAAATCAGGGGTTTTAGCTAGCACTGTAGATCAGAAAAATCTGGGAAGTATATTCATCTGGTTACCTTTAGGGCACAGTTTAAAGCACAAGTGCAGATCATTTCAGTAAAGATTGCAGAACTGGGGGGGAAAAAAGTGCTTTCAGTTTAACAGAATAAGCTCTTAATATTCTGTAAGATCTGTCTTTTCAGCTATTATCCCATGTACAGTCTTTAACAAACTTATTTTCTCCTTGGTAGGCTTGCAGTGCAGGCCTCCTACAAGGCCTGTATCTCTAAAATATCCAAAATGATGAAATCGTGAGTAATTGAGGCTGCTGCAATTATAACAAAAAGATAAGGTGAGATGTGTCCTCTGAACTCGAGAAAGCATGAGAGGCAGAGCCCAGCCATGTCCCCATTTTCCTGGCACAGCCCATCTGTCTTAACAAATCAAACGTAGGGTTAAACCTTCTGGTGTCTAGAGAGGAATTGTTAGGAACTGATGAATGACATACATGCCTTGGTCAGATAGAGGTGCCTCTAGCCAGATATTCTGTCTTCAGCAGTGGATAGATAATAACAGGGAGGGAAAATAGAAAAGCAGAGTGTTGTTCCCCACCTCCTTTCCGGGAATGGGTGTTGTAATACAGCTGGGTGCCGTGCTTCCTGCTGTGCCCTATTGATTCATTCAGTCTGTTGACTCCCTGCAGACATCTTGACTTCTTTTTGCATTGTCCAGTGGTAAGAGTTTACAACATATTGATAGTCTGGGGAGAGCTGAAAGGGAAGGGAAGACTTGCCTGAATTTATAGTTAATCCCAAACAAATGAAGCAGCAGGAGCCTTCATTTTCTGGAAGCCGGCACCAACAGTTTTTAAAGCAAACATACTTGGAAAAATGAAGCCATTTTGAAGCAGGAGAATACTTCCCATGAGTTTGAGGCTGTCCTGCAAAAAACAAAAGAGGAGTAATGAGAAAAGAGCCAGAATGTTGTTGGCTGCTGGCAGTGTTGTCTGAATTTGGATTGAAATTTCTGTGGGGTTTGAGTGAATGTAAAGTTTTTGTAAAACTTGCCTGAGTTCGAGATTCCCCAGTCAGCTTCTGTTTACTTGTATTCTGCTGTCTTGAATTTATTTTTCCCCTCTTGGAGCAGTCAAATCATGAAACCTTAGAGGTTGCTTTCAGGTCTGCTATTTCAGCGTGGCTGGAGGGGGAAGGAGAAGTAAAGATCACATTCTGTTTTTGAAATGTGCTGCCTGTGAACTATCACCCTCTAGCACTGCTTTGAGGAAATTGAGATGTAGTTCAGTGTAACTTGAACATAGAGGTTAATACTTTTTTTTTTTTTCAGAGCAGTGGCATTCGTTTGCCTTCTATGCTCCCAGTGCACTGGGTTTTAGTCCCAGTTGTATAATGTTGCAATGTAGTGTGATGTAAGAGTAGAAGAGTGCAACGTAGTTTACATTCTCAATCTGCATCAGCCAAATCTTGGTTTGCAATAATATGTCCTGACAAGTCAATGATAGAATCTTTTGAATTGGAATGGACCTTTAAAAATCATCTAATCCAACTCCCCTGCAATGCACAGGGGTACCTGCAGCTCGATTAGGTTGCTCAGAGCCTGATCCAGTGCAACCCTGAATGTCTCCAAGGAAAGGACTTCCACCACCTCTCTGCACAAGCTGTTACAGTGCTTCACCACCCTAGTTGCAAAAAAATAATATAAAAAAAAAAAAAAAAAAAAAAAATTTCCCTTATGCTCAATCTAAATGTTCCCTCTTCTAGTTTGAAACTATTTCCCATCGTCCTGTCACAACAGATCCTGCTAAAGACTCTGTCCCCTTCATTCTTATAATCCCTCTTTAGATACTGAAAGGCTGCTATCAGGTCTTCCCAGAGCCTTCTCTTCTTTATACTGAACGGCCCCAGCTCTCAACCTGTCCTTATTGGGAAGGTGTTCCTTCCCTTGGATCGCTTTTGTGGCCATCCTTTGGATGTGCTCCAGCAGGTCCACATCTCTCCTGTACTGAGGACTGCATATCTGGACACAGTATAGAGCAGAGAGGCAGGATCACCTCCTCGACCTGCTGACTGCACTTCATTTGGAACATCCCAGAATATGGTTGGCTTTGTGGGCTGTGAGCCCAAAAATCCTGCCATCCACCAGTAACCCCAGGTCTTTTTTGGCAGGGCTGTGCTCCGTCCATCCATACTCCTACTTGTGCTGATAGCAAGAGTTGCTGTGACCCAAGTGCAAGACCTTACGCTTAGATTTATTGAACTGGTGAGGTTCTCCTGGGCCGACTGCTTGAGCTGGGCTAGCTCTCTGAATGGCGTCCTGTCCCTCAGGTGCATCTGTCACACTGCACAGCTTGGTGCCCTCCACAAACTGTGAAGGGTGCATTCAATCCCACTCTCAGTGTCATTGATGAAGGTGAGTAGAATAAGCAAGAACCTTAAAAAAACAAAACAAAAAAAACAAACAAATTCTTAATTATCAACAAAAATCATGACAAACCATAGCATTCTTAAAAAAGAAGATATGAGCAGAAAAAACCCTCATCATATGGATGAGATTAGCTGGTAATTAAAAAGCCAACCAATTTGAGTTAAGAGGTGGATTAATTAGATAAAACACTGGGAAATCTAATTTACTCAGCAATTTATTTTTAATCCAAGTCAAGAAGATCTTATCATGGCTTCTATGAAGCTTGGAGCAACCCAGTCAGATTTAATTATACTCTTATGTAATGACCTACATCTCTTAAGTTTTATGATTGTAATTTATTTTATTTATAAATAGCTGTACATTTAAGATCTAAAGAGTATGGAGACCATTCAGTAGGCACTTTTGATGCATTAATATTGAAACTGCAGGTGTAGACAATTTTATGCTGTTATTCTTGAAACATAACTGTTGGCCTGAAGTACCAAATTTTCTTTGTTCCTTCCCATGTATCAAAAATCCATTTTCTTGTTCATGTGTTAGAACTGTCTTTTCTTTTTTACCACTGGTCACTTAAATGTTCAGAGAGGGGGTAAGACAATGACTACATCTTCCCTGTGTAACACTCCGTGCCTTGAAGGCTAATTATTTTCCTGCAAGCTCTCCTAACCAGGTTCCCTAGTCAGAAAATGCACATATCCGAAGTTAAGATTGTGCAGACTGAAAGTGGATATTAGTGAAGGCGCTGCAGATAAACACGCTTGTTCAGGACTGGATAAAGCTCTGCAATATCTAGGAGCTCTGCAATATGTGTACATGGCAGCTATTTTATTGAGTTTCCCCATCTGACTTGAAATGCTTGCTTTCACTGCCCTGAGCATACCGTCTTGACGCAGCTTTCTCCTATTTTATGGAAGTATGTGAAGGTTAAGCATCCTCAAGCCTGCGGCATGGCTCACAGGGTAATCCAAGATGATGTCCCCTGTCCCATTCCTGCAGCAGAGCTCGTGCCCCAGCTTTTGTGCATCAGGTCCCAAAGGTATGATGTGTGCAGCTCCTGCCACCTATGGAGGCTGTGTAGGTATTTTGACTTTAAAAGGAGGGGGGAATTTGGGTATGATTTTTTTTTTTTTCAATCTGCATCTTGTGTAAACAAGTGGTAACTTTTCTTTGACTGAAAAATACAGGTGAGAGGCTGTAAATGTGGATTCTTACAACTCTATAGCAAACCTGTTCAAAGGTGAAGACTGAAGAACAGAAACCAATGTATTGTCTGTGCACTGAAACTTCAGAAGTAGAGACTGAGGCAGATCTCTGCCCAACGAGGACTGGGGCAGAGTTTCTGAAGGAGGAGAAACTTACTGAAGAATACATTTTTGAGGAGAGGAATCACTTAGGTTTTAGTTATACTTTCAGCCATAAATGCATATTCCAAAAGTGGCAGAAAAAAATTCAGGAATGTTAATTGTTTAAACTTTGAAATGTCTTCAGTTAGGCTATTCTTAAATCAACAGTCCCCATTACAAATAACTCATCCTTCAGAGTAAAGGTAGAGACTATCCTAGGAACGTATTTTTTTTTCAGTTTGTCTTCCCTTAAAATGCCTTCAAAACCACCTTCATATCCTATTTTTTTGCATGAACTGAATGAATTTTTAATATACCTTTCAGTTCTGCAACCAACTCAACATATACATTATTCATGTGGATCTGCATCTCCAGATAATTATAAGGAACATCCTGAGTAATGTCAGAGGTGTTTGTGCTAGCATAGGAAAGGTGAGTCAGGAAGCAAGAAAAACTTCTCTCTGCTCTGCTCGTGGAGTCAGCTATATCCCAGGAAGAGCTTGCATGGCCAAGAAGTTGTCATAATTGGACTTGTTCAACAATATTTTTTTTCCAGATACTCTGCTTTTGTGGGTCCATCTTCAGTATTTCTTACTGGCCCTATAGATAAACTCTAGATGTGCTTAGGTACTGCAGCTCGATTCAAGATAAGATGTTCTTCAAGCGTGTGTTCTGTATCTATGGGCATAAGATACAAGATTTGAATGTTTTCAGCTCAATTGTAACTTCAGAAGTACTTTAAGGAATTCAAAGCGAGGTCTTTCTTTGACTTCTAATTGTGCTATGTGAAATTTTGGTAAATGCAGCTGTGTTTGAAGACAGCAGCTCTCTAGCTGTTTTTCTCTAGCTGGATCTGTGCTGTGTTGGCAGGTTGTGTTTTCCAAAATTACGTGGAGAGGCTGTAGACAGCAGTGCTTTTGTCCTGCCATTCCATCAGTGCGCATCATCATCCTGAGTGCCATCCTGTGATTAAAGGGCAAAAGGAGAGGGAATGGTGGCTGGCTGATAGACATCAGTGCTTATGAAGTCTGTCTTATTTGCTAAGGCTGCCAGCTAAGTGTACTTGGAATGAAGGTACTCAATAATGCTTTGTTCCTCTAAGATCATTTTTGAAGAATTTCGTGGAATGTACTGTAATTATGATGGCCGCAGTGTGTGATACTGGATCCTGCTTCAAGAGCTAAAACTAGTGATTTAAAAGTCCTCAGGCTCTGGAAGAATAGGAGGGAAAGTGATTAGAAAAGAAAGCTTAGAATTGGAAGCTCTTAAGCAGAGGTTTACTGTGCTATGGAAATGTGCATTCTCAGTCCAGACAGGTGCTGGTGTTACCCAAAAGCCATTCCTTGATGAAGTGAAATGTGCCTGTGCAGACCAACAGAGAAGTGGGGCAGTAATCAATGTAAGAAACATAAATGAAAGGCTAAAATTTAGATGTAGAAAAAGTTTTTGAAAGATTAGGGAAATTGAAGATATAGAAAGGAAAACAGAAGCAGAAGGGGAAAGAGTTCCTGTATATTGGGTGGGAAAAGCTTTGACGTGATTCTAAGAACAACAACAGTTGTAAGCAGAATTTCTAGAATCTGTATAAATTTTAATAAGAATGCACCAAAGTTAAAAGCTCTTGGGAAATGCCTCAGCTATAAGTAGAAGAATTTAATTAAAGTCCATCCTACGGATTTTTTTAATTTTTTTTTTTTAGGAAAATAACCTTAGGCAAGCCTGGAGCTTCCTTTGAGATTACAACTTTAAATACAGCTGCATTAATTTAACTCCCATAAGCTTTTAAAGGGTACATGATTAAGAAGTCTAGTGTTTTGGTTCTTAAATGTATGGGTTAGAAATGAGCAAACTGACTGGTCTCAAAGGTAGATGCTAACAGGATATTGTTTGTTTCATCTAAGGTCACTGATCAATGTCAGTGATTGCAAAGTAACATAACAGCATTTTTTAGCAGCTGTTTGGAACTGACATGTAAGTTAGGGAAGGGCTAAATAAAGTTTAAAACTGGCATAGAGAAATGTCCATCTTTTACCTAATTTCTTTCAGGGATTTTTGATTTACTGGAGGGAAAGTGGATATTTGAAACACTGAATCACGATGTTCCTGTGCTGTTTGTGTGAGCTTTGGTAGGTATTGAGTGCAGCGCACCCTGGAGGGAAAAAGCATCCAGTAGGGACTACTGGTAGGGGGTGTACTTGAGCAGGTGAGTACTGGAGCAGCCAAGGATGCGTGGGGTTCTGGGCAATAAAGAGCAAGGCTTTAAGGAAACTGAAGAAGCAAAGACACTGCTGCATAGTCCTGGAGAATCCTAAAATGGAGGCTGCAAAATTAAAGGAAAAAGTTGTTTTTGTTTTAGTAGTAGCTTGCATGTCATGTCCTCTTACTGACATCACTTCTACTTGGAGGGAAGATACCTCTGCTAGTTCTCCTGGTTGCCTTCTTGTGACACTTCCATTCCAGAACAAGGGACCTCAGTATATCTGGTCCATCTGTTGTTGCTAAATCATCACTTGCAAGGAAAGG